GGGGGAGGGGGCGCTGTCATATAGTTATGATTAATGATTCTAAATAAAGAACTGAGGGAGAGTCATGGTCCAGAGTCCATGTTTTCTACTGTGCTCTTGGCAATGCATCATAATTTAACTGATTCGGCCAAGTAGCCGATTTGTGTTTAGTTTATAAATCGCTGACTGAATGTTGACTTCAAATTCAAATCATTACTCGTCTGTTATTGAATTCAATTACATAAAAAAGTCATATTTTTGGCCTCACTGAACTTGCCTCAGTGTTATCCTGTAAAAGGTCAAAGCACAGCTCTTAAATTAAAAATGTGTAGGTTCTTGGGATGCCTTGAGGTGGTGCTGGCAACCTGTGCTCTCTTCTACAATGGCCTGTTCAGGTATAGTACTATCCTCCTCCAGTATATTTTTACTGTGGGAATGGAGCATGGAAGAAGGAAACACTTACCTCCTGCTCAGTCTGCTGACACGTCCACACCAGTTCAGAGGAAGCCGGTGGTTAAACGTGCCAGATTTACCAATTTAATTCAAACTACATGTGGATTCTGTGTCGCTGTGCAACATAATCTAAAATTTATGTCAACGTTAAATGGACAAAAACATCATGGCTTTTTTTTTTACTAGATTGATTTGAATGCAAATAGTCAGATGTGGTGTTCCACTTACAAACCAGAGGATGAATCAAATATATTGAAATTCCTATATAGTGAAGACAGTTAAATTGACAGCCTGACAGCCCATGTCTTTTTTTGATATTGTCAACACATTTCCATCTGAAATCCAAAGCTGCAGTGGCCTCTCAATGTCATTAGTACAGACCATACCCCGGCGCGAGGACCCATTTTCAGAGGTTATCCAAATGAGATCAGCCTTTTTGTGGCTGTTGTTATTACTCCACCACTGGTCCTGTTTAAATCAATTCAGTTTCTGAAAAACAATGCTTTGATCCCGATTTTATCAACTCCAGCTCTTTTGTGTTTCTAATTTCCTCATCCCCCAACATTTTGTTTTCATCTTGGGCCAGCTGTTGTTTTCCAGCACCTCCCTCTTATATGTGTTAGAAGTTTTCTTCTCCATGCCTCGGCCTATAAAAATCTTTCTTTGACAGAGTAATTTGCCAAGTTCGGTAGATAAAGGAACAAAATCCTAAACCCAAACTGGTGTCCAGCTGTATTTTGGTCGACTGGCTTCAGAGTGGCTGATCCCTTCTGAACTTTATTTCCAAAAGTTATTACATAATGTGATTCTGATATGATTTAAAGGACAAAACTTTCTGAATGCCACTTGGAATTTGGACAGAATTTGGAATGACCAAGGTGACCTGGAACTTGTTACAGATTTTACGAGTTTTTCAGACACTAAAATTTTACAGCAAACGTTTCCATTTGACAAGTTTGGAATCAAGATTTGCAGATTTACTGCCATTTTTATGAATGTTGATTATCTTTCTACATGCCTTGTGGACAGAGGTCAGATTTTGTCACTTCATTAGCCAAAATAACTGTCATGAAAAATAACATTAACACATGGTTTAACACAAACTGGGGCTACATGTCACATGTGAAAATAGAAGGGTGCTCAGAGGGCAAATACCTCCACCAAGGCTAACGCCCTATCTTGCCATGCTGATGAAAGTGAAAAAGAAAAATTCTTGAACTGCCTGTCAATCTCAACATTTTATTAGGTCTTCCTTCGGTCATGCCCCACCCCTTCGCCAAACTTTATTGATATCAGTTCATTAGTATTACTGCCAACAAACAGACAAACAAAGTGACGGGTGAAAACATAACCTCCTTGTCAGAGTTAAATACAATGCTTTGTCAGACAAATTGCATTTTGGCATCCACAAGTCCATATTTTTTATTTAGAAATAAACAGTATTTAAGATTGAGACACAACATTATATCATGGACTGTCACACAAAAAAACCCCTGTGCAAAGCAATGCAATCCTATAGAACAGCCCTGCAACACATACCACCTTAGTGCAAATTACAGTGTTGGGTTTTTGTTGAGACTGTCAGACAGAGGTTGTCTTTACTCCGTGGTCATTTTAAAGGCTGTAGTTTGTGGTGAGGTTGTACTGGAATGCAAACCTTGTAATTCCAAACATGTCTCTTTGTAGATGTTCAGCATGGTACTTGAAAACACTATCTCGTTTTATATTGCTACGAAGTGTCACACAAGGAAATTATAGAAAATCACAAGGAATACAGTGACTTAATCAGTATTCATCACCCCACAGTAATATGTATCACAATGAATATGCAAATTACTCCATGTAGTAATCTCACTCTTTAATTTTTACTTATTTTCATGCAAGATTGTTTGGTTGATAATATCTGTTGCGTTTTAGGTTCCTGGCTCGCTCCTTGGTCAACATGTCCAGTCACAATCCATTGTTGAAGCTGGAGCAGCGAGCAGCCGAGGCAGACCAGATCATCGAGTACCTCAAACAGCAAGTCCAGCTGCTGAAGGAGAAAACAAGTACGAGAGCACACCGCAAATTAACACCCATACACAACAACTCTGTCAGCAAGTAAAAGACGTGCTGTAAAAGCGCTATATAAATGCAGCCCATTTACATAAAGTTTCTAGTTCATTTTGTCTAGACAGGCTATACAAGTGAAATACCAGTGTGACCACTAACAAGTATATGAAACCTGAGTATACAAGTTATATAAAACTCTTCTGTAGTTCACAAATTAGTCTGACGATATATTAAATGGTTAAATCAGCCTTATCTAGTTTCCTATTGATTTATCTATTTATCGTAAATGATGAATTTAGTTTTTAGGTATTCATTATACAGAATTTATAGAATCCTGTTAAGTTAATCATGTGTAATCTTGAATGTAATAAACATTAAACGTAGGCCATATTTTTGTTACAAAACAAAAAGCTATATCCTTGATTATCTGTCTCCATTATCCCATATCATTCCCCACTTTAAATACTATCACCTGGACAAATTGAGAACATGAATTATATTTAAGAAATTCTAAATAAAAAAACTATATTAGTTCACAAATTGATGGCTCTTTTAAGCCCACTCGCAATATTGATTTAAGCAGGCAACATATGTTGGTCAGTAATGAAAATGCCTGGTGGGAAGTTGAAATGGAATCCCTGTGCTGTTTTAACAAGAATTTCCCTGTTACAGTCGTCCAGGCCAGTGTCAGAGAAGAGAAGAAACTGATGGTGGAGAATGCGAAACTGAAGAATGACATCGAGGAGCTGAAAAAACAGCTGCTGGAAAAAGAGAAGAGGAGAGGGGGTATGTTTGAGCTTGGTTCCCAGCAGGGACTTCCATAGCAAATCAAATGATGTTTGTTTTAAAAAGACCTTGATGTCGTTATCCCTTTTATATCAAGTTATATCAAGATGAGTGCGCCCGACTTAGGAACATTTGATGTCAGTCGTTGCTCATTAGAGCACTGTTTGGTTTGTGCTATCAATGATAACATCTTGCGCATTCTCGCTTCAGCTCATTATAACCAGATCTTTTTTGTTTTCATTACAAGCAACTTTAGAGCCTCGAGAATCCCCCTGAGAGTGATGGGGACAACATGTCTGTCAGCTATAGGGACTGGAAGGAATAAGTAAATTTAACGTTATTCAAAAAAAAAAAAAACTCATCGTGTTGGAACACTGATGGAATGTGTTCCAATACAGTGCTAAGATTTTCCATGTATTGTATCTGATTGTGATGTTTATTTTTGGGGGTTTCTTTTAAAGTTGACATAAAATAGCTTCATTAAAACAGGGAAACTTACTGAAAAACATTTAAACTTGGACTTTATTTGCTTTTGTGATGAGAAAAACAAACCGTACAATGTGACTGTAATGTTGCCAATCGAAGACTTTCCATGAAACAACAACCGTTCGGCATCCAAGAAAAAATTACAGAGGTAACTAAAGTTCAGTATCAAATTAACTCCAATCCATTATAAAGTCAAAATTATTAAACTCCAACCGTGACTCCTTTAAATCGTAACGATTGTGCAGATAATTAATTTTTAAAATTAAAAAATGTTGGTTCCTCTTTTGTTTACCTTCAATTAACTCATGAAGTTTTGATTTGCAACATGAGTGTAAAGACAACGGGACGAGTGTAAGCTCAGCTCTTCTAATCCCTCT